AACCAAGGTATCCTTCTTCATAGTTTCTGTGACCTAATCTAATGCAAGGCTGGTTGAAAAAGCTTGATAAATATTGACTACTTGAACCACACAATAGCTGCCACATCTTGGACTGAATGACTTCTGCACAGCGCCTTAGTCTCTTGCCATATTCCACTCCCTGTTGAGTTTCTTAGCCTGTCCTGGAAGAGAAATTAGTAACCCTGGCTCTGAAGTGGTGGTAGGAAGAGGTCACAACCAAGAAGGAGCTGTTTCCTTAATCCTGCACTCTTGGGCCTGAGGCTAACCTCTTGCCTGTCTTTGGGCCATCTAAGTGAGACAGAAATTCATCTCTGTTTTTAACAGCTCCAGAGGCAATTCCTCAACATCTCTTGGTAGTCTGTTCTACAGTTTCTGAAAACCCTTGTCAAGGTCAACTAGAAAATAGGCCCTTGTGACCCAGAGTTTCTAAAAAGCCCACTTGACAAATTGAGTAATGAGTCAATCAAGAGGAAAAATAAAGTCAGAGATTACCCTGCTTCTGGAAGGAACGAGTCATCAACAGCTGAAGGAGTGGATTGTAAAGGGGCACAGAGGCCAGCATCCTGGAGAGTGTACAGCACGGCTCTAACTCGGGGAACTGAGGAGCTCTGTCATGCCCAAGAACATCAGAAGCTTGAAGTACAAAGGATCATTTGTACTGTGCCCTGAGAATAAACTCCAATGAAATTATTCACAAGTAATGATTGTTGTCAAGGTCTTGTCATTGGAGTTTTCCCATTTCATGGTGTCTAGAACTGATAACCCTTGAGATCATGCATAGTGCTCGAAGACAAAGGGCATCACTTAACATCAAGGAGGCACATTAAGAAAAGAGTAGGGGGACAAAGAGGTACAGTGCAGAAAGAATTAGAATAAAAACACGTGCTTGCTGCAGGTATTGAGACAGAGCTTAGAGGGAAGCTTATAGGGAATGTCAAGGGTCCATGTCTGTGAATCATGTTACATTTTACTGGCACTCTACTAAATATGATATATGGGAAATAATGCTTTATTGGATTTTTAAGAATACTTTTAGTCATTCAAATGTTTATTGAGGAGCACCTAGGTGCCACGCACTAGGCTGGGCAACAGGGCATGATGGTGCGTTCGCTTGAGGAGTGAACAGCTTATTGGGAGAGACAAAGTGTGAGCAAGGAACTGTGAAATAGCATTAAATGTGTTAATAGAGGCAAGGGACTTACCATGAGGAGAGAGAAAGAGAAACTTAGAAGAGCAGCACAGAGAAACTGTTGCAATTCTGGGGATTTCATTTGAGCTACAGATAGCCCTGCATTGGCATTTGCAGACTGAATATGCATGAATGATAAAAACCCCCAGTGAGTAATCCAAAACGTCCCTGTCATGAGGTAATTTGCCGAGACACAGATTTGAATGGGGCTGCCAGGAGGCCAGACTGTGCTTGCCAGCCACTCAGCTAGTGAATGACCACTCCTAACACTGGGATTTGTGTCCCAGTACCACTTAGCTCTCCTTCCTTTCTCATCGACATCCACACAATAATTCTCATACTGTGATCAATTTTTTTCTTCGCAGAATAAGGGTAATAGGGCGTTAATAAGGTAAAGATATAAGGTAATGAAGTAAGAAGTTTTTTTTATTTTTTATTTTTGAGACGGAGTCTCGCCCTGTCACCCAGGCTGGAGTGCAGTGGCGCGATCTCAGCTCACTGCAAGCTCCATCTCCTGGTTTCACGCCATTCTCCTGCCTCAGCCTCCAGAGTAGCTGGGACTACAGGCGCCCCACACCACGCCTGGCTAATTTTTTGTATTTTTAGTACAGGCCGGGTTTCACTGTGTTAGTTATGATGGTCTCGATCTCCTGACCTCGTGATCCGCCTGCCTCGGCCTCCCAAAGTGCTGGAATTACAGGAGTGAGCCACCGTGCTGGCCAAGAAGTTTATTTTAATGGCAAAATTTATTTAAGTAGCTTTAGAAATTACTTTGGCCCCATATTCATAGAACCATTAAGAGTCTGAAAAGATTCTTTACATTTTTCAGTTACACTTTACTGTACTTTATGGTGGAAATTATATGCCATGATGACGTTCATGATTTTGGAGACTCACCAAGGTCATGGATGAACCCTCTGAGAATGTCAAAGGTCCAAGTCCATGAATAATGTTACATTTTATTGGCTTTACTAAATATAACAAAATCTTATTTTAAGTTTGAAAAGTAAGATATTCTCTCTCATGTGATTTCCCTATATTTTGGGAAAGGCTGCCATTCCCCTTCCTGTTTATGAAGGTTTAACATGTGTCACCAGAAGACAAAGGAGTTATTTGTCCACAAAACTGCAGCCTGACAAGCAACTCAAATTAAGAAAGATAACTATATTCCCCAATGAAATGCTTTCCTTTTGGTCTATTGCCTGGAACCTAATAACCACTGAAACTCAAACTGACCCCACCCCGTCTCCCAAATACCTCCAAGAACCTCAAACTTAATATGACATCACCCACAATCCCAAGCTGCTTCCACTTCTATCTCCTTGTTCAGTTATCGAGTAAATAAATTTACCTCCTAAGTGATTCTCAAATGCAAATACAGCCAGGCCTCACCAGCCCCACAGCACTGCCCCAAGCTAGCCGACGGTCAAAGCATCTGTCATCACAATATTCTGAAACTCTGCCTCCTCTATTCTCTATATTGATGCAGAGTAATTTTTCTCAAAATGCATGGCTTGCCTTCATTGGCTTCCACTGAGGTTTAAGATAAGGTCCAATCAAGAGAAAAGACACCGGGCCCCACTAGAGGCTGAAGGGTAGGAGGAGGCATAGGATAAAAAAAAAAATACCTATTGGGTACTATGCTTATTACCAGTGTGATAAAATAATCTGTCCAGCAAACCCCTATGACATGCAATTTACTTATATAACAAACCTGCACATGTACCTCTGAACCTAAAATAAAAGTAAAAAAAAAATTATTCACCAAACCCAGTGATCAAGGTTAATAACACCAGTAATAAGTCATATTGCTATCACGTACCCCTGACATAATGCAATGAGAAGGCACTTCATCTTCGTGGTATTCATCCCCAAAATCCAAAACCCTGGACTAATCATGAGGAAACATCAGATAAATGCAAATGAGGAACATTCTACAGAATATCTGACCAGTCCTCTTTAAAAATGTCAAGGTCATGAAAAACAGAGAAAAACTGAGAAGCTGTCACAGATTGAGAAGAATAAGGAGATGTAATGACTAAATGCAGCATCATATCTTGGATTAGATTCTAGGAAAATAAAAAAGACATTAGTGGAAAAACTAGTAAAATCAAAATAAAGTCTGTAGTCTTAATTTTAAAAAGAAAAAAGATATGGTCTATCAACAACCAACTGATTCTTGGACAGTGATTCTGATGTCCACGGTCGATACATAACACTTTGAGAAACGCCTTGACTATGAGTTGTTTCTCCCCCCAGTACAGGATGAGTTCTTTCATATCTCTATACATTCTGCATTTGCCAAATGCTGGTACTGTACTACTCATTCACCTTTCTCTTTTCAGTGAGACTCTGTAGTCTGTCAGTATTCAATTTAAATGTCACTACTTGAGCAAAGTCACATGTAATCTCTGGCCACTGAGAGATTTACATGTGGCCAGAGATTTACACGTCTGGCTTTCCACTGCACTGGATACACATCCCCACTAAAGCAGGTGTCACAGTTTACTATAATAATCTGTTAACAGGTTTATTTTCTCCAGTGTTCCATGTGCTCTTGTGTTCAACTTTGAATCCCTAGTACCTAGCACGATGTTTGGCTCCTGCCAGGCAGTCAGCCTTTGCTGAATGAAAGGACCAGTGATTGAGGTCTGTGGCTACATGGTAAAATGAGAGAGACGAGTCATCAAAGGGAAAAACTGCTTTTTTGTTAACTATAAAGTGAACCAAGGCGTCAGAACAGTTAAAACAAGGATGAACAGTGCTTTTAGATCTCAATCAATTTAAAAATTACTCGACACATCTGTCCTAGCTAAAGACTAACTCTAGCACCTCCTGCGGCCTGTTAGTATTTCACACTTGGGCAGCTGATCCAGCAAATGTTCAATGATCGGATGTGAAATACTTAGAAGCTATTGGCTTTGAAAATATAAATGTAAGAAGATGCCTAGTAAAAGCATCTGCTAAATATTTTTTCCTGTTTGGCACATTAGACTGCAGTATCAGACACATGACCGTGGTCATACTGTACACAATGCCCAATGTCTGCCAAAACTCTGGCATATGAGAGACTTAGTGTTGGAGTACGGAGGGATTCTTCGGGTATCCCCACTACACATTGGTGGAAAGAAGAGCTTCCAGAACAAATCCAGTCAGGGAAAGAGGCAAATACACTGCATTTAGTAACACTGCTGGAGCCTGAAGGGAGGATACTAAGAGGGCTCAAGCCTAAATCTAATCCAACAAGCTAGATTCTGAGTAACGACCAATCTCTGATAAAGCTGTTCCCCTAACCCTTCTGCTGCCCGAAACACTCCACAGCCCCTACCGGGCTACTGGGTTCCCCAGTGGACTCTGGACAGCGCCGCGCCCTGCTCGGCCCCACCCACCCGGTGGCGCTCGGGCCCGCCCTACTCCCCCACCCCAGGGCACCACCTACCAGGGCCCCGCCCCGCCCCAACCCCACGTGCGGGGCCCCACCCCGGCGCTAGCGGCCCTTTAAACACCCCCACCCTTACACATTACCCCCCCCACCCGGACGGCATCCGGAGAGGGACAAAACTCATGGCGTACAGCCAGTTTCCTCCGCGGAGCGCGTCCTGTGCCGCCCCAGCCGTTGGGGCCCTGCACTCCGGGCCACAGCGCCAGGGCGGCCGGGCCGAGGAGTGTCGACGCGGTCCGGCTACGGGGCGGGGCCGGCGGGAGCTCCGGTCGCCGCTGCCGCTGCTGCCTCCGCCTGCCGCTCGGGCCGCCCGCTCGCCCGCCGCTGGGTGCGCTGCACGCGGGGGGCAGCCGCGGTGCAGAGGTTCATGCAGCGGCGGCGGCGGCGGCGGCTGCTGCTGCTGCCGCCGCGGAGGCAGACAGACCGGGCGCTGCCGCCGCCGCCCTCCCCCGGCTCCATGCCGCCGCCGCTGCCACCTCCTCCTCTCCGGCGAGGGGCGGGGGGCTCCGGCCCGGGGTGGGCACCACTCCTCGCAGCGCCGCTCCCCTCCCTGCCCTCCGCCCGGGCGCTGGAGCCGGCGAGGGCACCCTTCGCCTCCTAGGAGTGCACCCTCCGCGCGCCCTGCCGGAGCGAGGGGGCGGGCGTGGGCGGGCGTCGGGGCAGCGGAGACCCCGCGCGGCTGCAAGAGGAGGGGGCTTCCCCAAGTATGCCCGGCAGCTCCCTGTTCCTAGGTGCAAGCTGAGTCTGACCGGGAGCGAGCGGCGCGTCGCCATGCCGGCGTGACGCGCCCCCGGCTGCCCGCGCGGGCCCCCGCGCTGCCCCACGCCGCGGCGTGCCGGCGCCGGGCTGCAGGATGGGCTGTATCCAAAGCATCACCTGCAAAGCGCGGATCCGGCGCGAGAACATCGTGGTGTACGATGTGTGCGCCACCATCGACCAGTGCCCCACGCGCATCGAGGAGACCTCGCCCATCGTCCTGCGCTACAAGACCCCGTACTTCAAAGCCTCGGCCCGCGTGGTCATGCCCCCCATCCCCCGCCACGAGACCTGGGTGGTGGGCTGGATTCAGGCGTGCAACCAGATGGAGTTCTTCAACACCTACAGCGACCTGGGCATGTAAGCGACCCGCCGCGCGGCACGGGAGCGGACTCTGGGCCCCCAGCTCTGCTCGCCACCTTAACCCCCCTCCCCAGCTCCTTCCTACTGCTGTCCCCATCGTCTTTCTAAACCTTCCTCCCGCCTCCTCTCCCACCTCCCTCCTCCCTACGCTTTTGTTTCAGTGACAGGGCGGGTGTAGGGAGGCTCCTCGCGAAGGCATTTTCTCGTGGTTTGCTTCTGACTCCCCAGAAACGCGAGGAGAACGGTGCGGGGCGGGAAGAACGCGACAAGGAGGGTTCGAGAGGCGGAGGTGGGGATGGCTGGCGAGTGCCCGGCGAGTTTCAGGGCGCCGTCTGTGCTTTGTGGGGCTCCCCGGGAAGAGTTTGGGGGAAACCATAGAGGAGTGGAGTGGAGTGCCGGGGACGCATGGGCTGTGCCGCGTGTCGTTTGGAGAAACCGGAGCGGGCTTGGAAGAGCAGGTCCCGGGCATCCGAGCGGGAGTTGGTAGTTCTGTCCTTGCCCTCGCGACTGTTGAATTTCGAACCCTTTTCCCCGAGGCCAGGGAGCCGGGAGGCGTTTCCGTCTGGAACCACAAGCCGGACATAGTTGCCTCTCTGTCTCCGCATCCCCTGGACCAGTTCTGGTGGGGAGCTGGAAGGCACCGGGTGCGTCCCGGCGAAGCAGGGCGGATGGCCTTGTGCGAGCAGCCTTCGGCTGGCGCGGCGCGGAGTGTTTCTTATGCTAAAGGGAAGGATGGGTCTCTTGTCTGTCTAGGGTCCTTACTTTTCAAAACTTTCCTAATTGCGGCACTGGAAGGGATTCCCCTGGCGCCCACCGCCGAATTCTATCGGCGAGCTGGGAGCTCTCCAACTTTCAGCAGCGCCGGTTGGTGCGCGCCGGGCTTAGCTGCTGCGGTGAAGACCGAGGATCACCGCGGCTCCTCAACCGCCAGGGGCCGCAGGCTGCGGGCGATCGCGTCCAGGACTTTTATATTTACCAAATTTTCATAACTCCGCACCCGCCTCCTTTCAGAACTAGACTCTGAGCAGGTGGCAACGACAATAGCTAAAAGGTTTTAGGGCCTGCCTTCTACCTGCTGTTACAGTGTAGGTCTAGAACACTCTAATTAGCCTGCAGCCTACAGGGAAACCCTTTTTCTGGAAATTCAACTTCATTTCACTTACTGATCTAAAACTCTAGAGCTCCCAAGGTTTGCCTATTTAATATGGATATGGGGTGGGGGAGTTCCTATTTTAAAAGGTCAAACCATCTTTTTAGCAGCAGTTTGCAGGCTTTTTATTGCACTCTGAGAGCATGTAAGTTAACAGTAGTCATAGGCGCTAACAGAAATTTTGACAGGTCGTTGTTTCCTTTTTTCCTCCCAAAGATTTTGCACTTTACTCTTTGAGCACAAAAGCTTAATGCTAGAGAAAACTCAATTTCTAGTGAAGAAATGTGAGGCCCAGTTTCCAATATGCCTCTGCACACTGTATTCTTTCTGGAAGACAGCTAGATGTGAGAAATGAAGGATATTTTATTTTGGGTGAATCATGTCATTTAAAAACAGACACACCCTCAAAAGAATGATTATATGTGAACACATGTGTCTCTTAAAACTGCTTTTTAAAATAAATCCATTATTTCCAGCCAAGTCAGAGAAAGCCACAGGCAGGGCCAGAGCCCTCCCTCTCATTCCCCTGGCGTCACCCTGATGACGGTGGGTTTTTGGAGGACAGCAACTACTCCCCTCAACAGCCTGGGGCCTCTGGTAGAGGAGGCCAGGAGTGACTGTGCAGAAGCAGCCTCACTTTTCCCAAGACTGCACAGCGGAGCTCTCTGTTGCCTCAAATCTCTTATGAATAAGTAAATCAAAAGCAAATACGTAAATACAGAATTATTTCCATAAAACTTATTTTACCTTAGGAGAAGTCAAGTTGAGATATAAACAGACATGGTAGTTGAGCTTCGTGGAATCTGTAGGGAAGATGTCCTCATTGGAACCAACTTTAATGGATATGAATCAGTGATAGGATTCCTGACCCTTCTCTACTGAATCCTTGCATTTGGGATTTGGAAAGAGGTTTTGTTTTTAAACTGCCACTTTTGGTATTTTAAGAATCTTGGTTTTCATGTAGATGTAGGAGAGCAAAAAATAGACCCCCAGTGAGTAATAAAGCATATTATTATAGATTTGTGTCCACAGTCTACCTGTTTTCTTCATGGTTGCAATAATTGCTATGTGTTTAAGGCCACTTTGGAGCCCAGATTTGAATGAACCAATTTCCACAAGATATTTATGCCCAGAAAACTTTGCTAGTGTAAACTTTTTAATGGGAACTCATATTGCATGAAAGTTACAGCAGTCTATTAGTTATTATGTGTACTTTAGCCAATACCTGGATTGTAAAAAATAGCATGCAGTGAATTTTCACCCCTGTGCAGTGTTCTGTCACATGAACCACAATATGGTGAGAGGGTCTGGGTTAGAAAACTGCCTTTTCAATATTTTGAGAAGGATTGTGCCAGAGGAAATCCACAGCATAAAATGGCAAGAAACTTCTGTTTTACAGGATTGAAAGAAAGTCTGAGGTTTTGTGGTTTAAATTTTAAACTTTTCCAAGAAGGGGTAGGCTTCTAAAAGAACGTTTGAAATAGTTGATGGCCATGATGACCAGAGTTTAATTTGAACTTTAACTCATTGCCATGGCACTTCCTCGAATGATTCTATAGAAACCAGGCTGGTGAATAGTTGTGGCACCTATTTATTTCTCATTTGGCCCTGGTGAATCTTGCTGTTGCAGCCTTGAACAGACTGCTGTAAGTCTCATCCCTTGGGGAGGAAGGGCTCCTGACTTTCTCAACCTGTCAGTAAACAAACATTTACCAAATGCTTCTGATGTACAGGCAGCAGCACCAAAGGAAACAAAGGAATATGCAGGCGGTTTTCACTGCTTCTCATTCTAAGATGACACATGCAGAGAAAAGCAGTGCTCTCGGGCAGTGTGAAAGAAATGCCTGAGAGAGAGAGCTGGGGGGCCAGGCAGGGTGTTCTGGAGGTGAATGGACTCAAGGCGAACTCTGAGGTATGGGTAATATTCAGGTAGGCAAGGAGGAGGGACTGATTCCAAAGGGGAAGACCAGCAAAGATACGGAGGTAGGAAAATAGAAGGTGTTTTAAGGGGACATAAGTTGGCTGGAGTGGAGTGTTCAAGGAGAACAGTAGGAGATGAGGTTTGAAAGGTAGCTTGGGTCTGTTGGGTGGGCCCAGAATAACACAGTCTGGTAAAGGGAAAGATTAAAGTCTGATCTTGACCAGACAGAGGGTGTCAGAAAGCTCTTCGTACCTTCTTTATACCTCTTGAGTATGCAGAAGCTTTCCAACAGAGGTGGAAGATGTTTATAATGGAACAGTTTTGAATGCTGGAGTACAACGCTGAAGAGGTTTCCTGAGTAAGATTTAAACAAGGAATGGGGTTCTTGTGCCAGGATATGAGGTGAAGACAAGGTCAGGGAAAACCAGCAATAGCTGAAGGCCCTTCTCATTCTCTTTGAGTCTTCTGGGGCTATAAGGGAACTCTCCATGGTCAGGCTAGGGCTGATAGTGTGGAAACCATCTCCACTGCCAATTTGGAAAACTTTGGCCTGTGTGAAACTTTAGGAAGTCATAGCTCAGTCATAGCTTCAAGAGACAGCTCCCGCCTGTCCCTCTACTCCTCCTTCAGAGCCAGGGTTATTGAGGATTTGGCTGTACCTACCCACCTCTGTTGCCTGTTCAGTCTAGTCCAAGCTGATTTCTATCCATTCTGAAACTGCTCTTGCTAAGTTCGTCTGTGATTTCCATGTTGCCGAATCCCTCAGACACTTTTGAGAGACACACAGTTTCAGCAGCATTCCTTGTAGACAGGCTTCTCTGTCTGGAACCGCTCCTATCTTTTAGCTTCTATGCTATTTTTTTCCGCTGTTTCTCTATCTCCATATTACCTCAATATACAGTTAATGGGACTTTTTTCTTCTGGTTCTGTGCTTTCCCTGGGTAACTTCATCCATCCTAATTGTGGGAGATACACAGTCGCCTCCAGTCTAGATATGTGTGTGTCTTCGCACAATAATGACGTGACACAATGAAAGACATCTCAAGCTTAGGGTATCCAAACCCGAACTCTTGATCCCCACTATAGCTCCCACCCAAAATCTGCACCTTTGTCGTTCTTCATCTTAGTAAATGACACCTCCACTCTTTGAGTTGCTCGAGTGAAACCATCTCTATGTCACCCTAGATATTTCCCCATACATCCAGCCCATCATTAAATCCTAGTGATCCCATCTCCAGAATATATCTGTAATCCAGCCACCACTTTCTCTGTCTACTGCTACCATCTCAGGACATGTCACCATCAACTGTCACCTGTTCCTGCAGAGACTTTCTAACTGAAACTGTCACCACCATTCTTGTCCCCCTCCAGTCTACCTCCCACATAGCAGCCAGAGTGATATATTAAAAATGTAGATGTTACTACTTTCTTGCTTAAACCTTTTAATAACTTACCATTGCGATTGGAATAAAATGGGAAAAATCTCTTGCATGGGAGGCCAAGTGGGGGCAAATCACTTGAGCCCAGGAGTTCAAGACCAGCTTTGACCAAGATGGTGAAACCCCATCTCTACTAAAAATTCCAAAAATTAGCTGGGCATGGTGGTGCACGCCCCATTTACTCAGGTGGCTGAGGCATGAGAATCACTGGAACCTGAGAGGCGGAGGTTGCAGTGAACCAAGATCGCACACTCCAGCCTGGGTGACAGAGTGAAACTCTGTTTCAAAAAGAAAGAAAGAAAGAAAATCTCTTTCTGTTCTGTGAATTTCTGTTCTTAAGCGATGTCTTCCAGTCTTTCAAAAGAACCAACTTTATCCCAACTCAGAACATTTCCATATGCTGCTCTCCATCTGAAATGTGCTTTCTCCCTGCACTGCTCTAGCTAATTCCTGCTACTCATTCAGGTCTCAGCCATTATCTCCTCTG